ATTTATACCTATTATACCTATTAATTTTAAAAAGACAACCTAGGGCTGGGGATTTAGCTCAGTGGTTTCTCCGCCTGCTGCGCAAGCGCAAGGACCCGAGTTCGATCCCTGGTACCAAAAAAAAAAATTTCCTGAAGGCTGGCTGTGATGGTGCACACCTGCAATTTCAGCATTCAGGAGGCTGAGGCAGGAGGATCACACCAAGTTTTAGGCCAGCTGGGCTACATAGTGAGTTCAAGGCCAGCCTGGACTGAATAGTGAGGCCCTGTCTCAAAACACCAAAACTTAAAAAATAAAGTAAATAAATAAAAAGACAACCCAGTGGAAAAATGGGTAAATACATAAAGAAAGTAAATCCACCTGGCTGATAAGTATATGAAACGATGTTTCAAACTCATTGGTAATCTGGGAAAATCAAATTAGGATAAAAATAAAAGGCTTTTCCCCCTTATCAGATTGGCCAAAACGTAAAAGCCTGGTGACTTCCCAGGCTGCGTTGGGAGGGGAGAAATGGGTGCTTTCATAAACTGCTGGTGCTGCACTCAGCAAGAAGCCACCTCGGAAGTTCAAAGGAAGCATGAAGCAGCTCTGGACAGCATAGACCAGGGCTGTGGCACAGACTCTGCCTATGGCTGCAGTGGGCGGTGTGACAGAGGATTCACAAAGAGGAGGTACAAAGTGAAACTTCAAAGGCCAGTGTCACAGAGAAGCCATAGTCCACGTGACTTCTGGGAAGCCAGCTCTCCGTGTGGGTGTTAAGGGGACCTCCCCAAAACATAGAGGTTTGAAGGCCTTTGAGTTGGAGAACAGGAAGAACATGCAAGAGGGTTCAAAACAATCACATCTCCCCCAGCCCCTCCCTAAATCACCCCAGCCTGTGCCTTCTTCTAGAGGTTTGACATTTTCCTCCGTTGCAGAAAATGACAGAGATGATTCTCAGAGCCAGGGCCAGCTCCAGGAGCCATTTCCAGCAGGAGCAACAGCTTGAAACCAGGCCCTCACTGGGCCTCAGTATGTCAATCTGTAAAACGGGGATCATAATACCTACTCTGCAGTCTTGTTGGAGCACTGAATGACATGATGACTATAAAAGAAGCCAAATATGGTGCTGGACAAAGTAGGTACTCTACTAAAGAATTCAACAAAATAAGCCAGGCTTATTGATGTGGGAATAGGTCAGTTCCAGGGTAGATTGAGGCACACAGGAGTAGAGAGGACAGGCTGTACAGGAGTACGTGCATCTGATGAGATTTCAAAGCTAACAATAAATGCAACAAACAGTGTCAACTGTTACCACTCTAACTATCAAGAAAAAGACAAACACCTAGAAAACAAAAAGTCAGCAAAGGATACAGATGATTTATAAAAGAGAAAACATAAATGGCCAGGAAACATAAGTTCAACCTCACTCATTCATTACAAAGAACTATAAAATTAAACAAGTGTAAGATTTTATGTTGAGTCATAAAACTAAGGAAGAATTTTTAAAAGTCAATCTCAGACTGGGTTTGGTGGAGGACATTTGTAATCTCAGCACTCAGAAGGCTGAGGTAGGTAGACTGCCATGAGTTCAGTGCCAGCCTGGGGTACACAGTGAGTTTAAGGCCAGCCTAAGATACATAGCAAGACCCTGTCCCTAAATAGATAAATAAATATCAATCTCAGCACTCTGGGAGGCTGAGGCAGAAGGATTACAAGTTTGAGCCTATCCCGGGCAATTTAGCAAGACTATGTCTTAAAAAAAAGATAGATAGTGGTACCATGCCTGCCTTGCAAGTGCAAGGTCCTGAGTTCGATCCCCAGTACCAAAGAGAGAGAGAGAGAGAGAAGCACATTCCACTTTTGAGTCTTCCAAATAGAACATTTCTGAAAAAAAGAAAATAGAACATTTCTGAAGGAGGACAAATTGAAAGCACACCCAGAAAAACTTCCAAACAGGCACCCCCTTTATCCTAGATTGCTACAGCCTCCTCATCCTCCGCCCCCCCACCCCCTCTGAAGAGAACACCAACTCCTGACCCGCGCCCACAGTCGGCAGGACTGGCAGACCCTCATATGAGAAGACAGAGCAGGCAGGGCAAGAGAGAATGACAACTTCGCTGGGGCGGGGACCCAAATATATGTAGTTGGAAAATGGGAGTCGTTTTCACAGAGCAGAGCCAGAGGAGGCCAACCTTCCCCTGGCAGAGCAGAGCAGGTGCCCAGGGAGGCCGCTCCGGGCCGCAGGTGCCAAGATGGGGTTAGGCGTGTAAGTAAGTCACTTGGGGAACACCCTTGAAGACAAAGGAAGAAGCAGGCCCACAGGAAGCCTCCAGACCACAATGGGGGTACGATGTCTTCGAAGGGAGAGCGAAGAGGCCAAGCCTTGCACTGGGGCAGCTCGAGACCCTGCCAGGGTGCAGGATGGAGGGTAGAAACAGCCCCTCTATCCCCCGAGTTCCCAGGGCCTGGCTAGGGTGGCCCATGTGGGAGAGGGCAGGGCAGGGCAGGGTTTGGCTCGAGCAAGGTGCTGGATGGGCAGGTGCCAGAGGCCGGTCAGGAAAAGGACAGAGGGAGCAGCTTTCCTCAGTTTCCCTCAGCCTAGAGGCAAAAGGGACAAGGATAAGTCTGCTGTTTCATAGAAAGGGAAGGCGTGGTGGGAGGCCAGGGCTACCAGCAACTGCAGAACGAAAGTCACCCTGCAGCTTCCTGCCACAGGCCTGCTCTGTCCGGAGTGGCAGGTCTCCTGGAAGCCCTGCTGTCTGCCCTAACCCGATCTCGGAAATCCCTGCCTTGCTTTCCCGGTGGGCAGTGGGTGAGCAGAAGCCTCTCCCCCTGCTGGCTTCCTCTGGGAAACCACCTAACTTATCCTTTCCAACCCCCGCTCCAATCCTCACCACTCACTACGGCTTCACCAAAGATTCTCAGCAGCGTCTTTGTATCCCTGGCTCCCCAAGGCCTGAGCCCACATGGCCCAGCACAGGCCTGGGAAGGTGGGGACACGCGCAGACACACCCTCCCCACGGCGCCCTCTCCAGCCCTGGGAGCCCGCTGCGCCTCCACCCTGACATCCCTGTTCCTTGCTTACTCCAGGCTAACTCCCAGTGTCACTCCTTCAGTGACTCCACGGAACTCGGCTGCTCCCGGACCGTGCAGCAGGCGCTTCTCACACACCTGCACTTGGACCCCAGGCCCACCCTACTCAGAGTGCCAGCCCCACTGGCCATGAGGACACGGAGGCTCGAGACCAAGGTGACTCACCTGTGCCTTTGCGTCCCTGGCCCAGATGCCAGGGTAGGGAGGTGGAGCCACTCTTGCCGGCCAAGTGCATCACAGGTTAGCAGCTGGGCCAAAACTGGGGAGGAGGCCCCGCCACCTCCACCCCACGGCTCTGCTCACAGCAGCACCTGGTTTCATTTCATCTTGTTGCAAACAGTACAGTACTTTAAACACCAGAGATCTGGGAGTGGGAGTGGGAACAGGGGAATAAAGCTAGCAGTTGATAAGGCTAGCCAGTGTCTAACCACCTTCCCTGTGTGAATGACAGACAGGTGATCAGCTTTTTGTAAGAGGAAACCAATTAAAATACAGTTTGAGCATCCTTCATCCGAAATCTGAAATATGCCCAACAGGGGCAGAAGACCTGAATGGCCATTTCTTAAAATCAGACAGACACATGGCCAGTGTGCACCTCACAAATCATCAGGGAAATTCAACCTAAAGCCAGAGAGATACCACCCACCTGCCAGATGCCAGTGTGAAAGCCAGCGTGTGCAGAAACAGGGAGCCTCGCACACACTGGCTGGGAATGTAAGCCCAGCTGCGTGGGGGTGCCTCGGGAAATTGAAAATAAAGTGATCATAGGACAGCAATTCCATGTAAGGGTATAAATGCAAGAAATACGAAGCCAGGAGGGTGAGGAGATATCTGCACTCCACATTCACTGCAGTATTATTCACAACAGCCAGGCCACCCTCAGAACTCCACCCCAGAGGCCTTTTCCCCCTTGCCTGTATTAAGGTTCAGATCGCTCATGTGCTCAGAGATGGGGCTTTGGAAGGTGATCGGCTCGTGGTGATTGGCTGTTAGGAGGGGGGCCTGGTCAGAGGGGGCTGCCTGGGAGTGAGGCCTGGAAGCATGGATTGCCCTCCTCGCTCCTCCCTTCACTCTCTGCTTCCTGCACACCGTGATGTGAGCAGCATTTCTCCACCTAGTCCTTCCACCATGCAGTTTCTGCATTGGAGCTGGCTGACCATGGACTGAAACTTCTGAAACTGTGAGCCAAAATAAACCTCAACTCCTTTGTCGTGGTTGTCCGTATTGTGTACCGGAGATGGGAAAGTGGCCAAGACAGACTGCAAGGGCTGCGCTTTCCTTCCCTTGCCCATTGCTCCTTACATACCACCCTCTCAATGCAAGCTGTGTTTGATCAACCAGGGGCCTGATGAGCCAAATGGGGCCCATGGGTGTTAGAGAAGGAAGCAGAGGCTTCCTGAAGTTCATCCACTTTTTTTTTTTTTCCTGGTACTGGGGATCGAACTCAGGACCTTGCATTTGCAAGGTGGGCACAGTGCCACTGAGCTAAATCCCTGGCCCAGTTCATCCACTTTTAAATGCCCTAAATTCCACTTTGCTCCATATACTTTCCCTAGATATAGCATTTCTCCATGCTTAGTGAGAATTACCAACTTTTGTTACTTTATTAAAGTAGGGGCTCAGCTGGGGATTTAGCTCAGTGGTTCTGGCGCCTGCCTCACAAGCGCAAGGTCCCAAGTTCGATCCCCGGTATGGAAAAAAAAAAATAGAATTAAAGTAGGGGCTCAGAATGCAGCCTTGGGCAACCAGTGTGAGACAGTAAGGCATGACTGGGGATGTGAAAGGAGAAGGATGTCACAAAATTCCTCCAGCTCTGAGATTCAGAAGTGCTACAGGCACTTCTCTGTGCTCTGAAGGAGCAGGAACCTAACTTGTGTCCATTCTCTAAGGTCCGTCTCACACTGAACAGAAATCAGCAGGCATACTTCACATTTAAGCTGCTTTTAATGCTCAAAAGCTCTATAAAAAAAAAAGTCATGAATGATTCCTCACAACACCCCTGTGAGGTAGGTAGGCAAGTATTATTCTCCCATTTTACAGATGGGGAAACTGAGGCAGAGAGGTGAAGTGATTGGCCAGTGGTCCCAGCACAGCTGAAAGTCAGGGCCAAGCATGAGAATACAAAGGATCCCTCCCAGTTCCACTAGACCTTGTCTGCAAAGAAACTAAAACCTTTGAATACAAGCACAAATACAAACAAACCTGAAAAGGTTGTGGCAGACATACAGTAGTTTTGCAAAAGAATTCAGCTGAGAGGGCCAATATTTTCCAACACTGGGTAGATGTGAACAACTTAGGTCTCTTCTCTCCCTTTCAAATATCCCAGCCAATGAATGACACACCCTTCTGTCTTTTTGTTGTAGTTTTGTTTTGGGTTTTTGAGACAGGGTCTCACTATAAAGTTCAGGCTAGCCCTGAATCCACTGTACAGCGCAGGCTGGCCTCGAACTCACAGTAATCCTCCTGCCTCAGCCTCCAGAATGCTGAGATTACAGGTGTGTGCCACCATACCCGGCGACATCCTTCTGTCTTCCTGCAGAAATCCATGAGCCCAACTAGAGAGGTTTCCCTGGCCCCAGAAGTCAGGTGGGCAGACAAGCTCTTCGTTGCCCAACCCCTCTGTTTCAGCAAACACCAGCCCTGGCCCAAAGGGCTGGCTGCAAGGCTTGTCTCCCGCCCCTCCCCACAGCCTTCCCAAACGTGGACAGAGGTGATCCTGGGACCATAACTCAGCAGGGTTTGGCCTTTATGCTCCCCCAGGGGAGAAGCTCAAGCTCAACCATCCCCCACAAGGCTGGCCTGGAATCCAGGGAATCCCCTCACACCACCCTTCGCCCAGTCTCTCACATTCCACCGTTCACAAGGGCCACCCCAACAACCCAGCTTGACTCAGCCACCCTTTGGGTCCTGCTGGGGGGGGGGGGGGTTCCTGGACCATCTTAGGCCACCAGGGCTGGGAGAATGAGCAGGGAAGATGGGCTGCCTGGCACCTTGGCCCAGGCTCCAGGGAAATCTGAGCTCTTCCTCCATAGTGCTGCATCGGCCTTCAGAAATGCTTTCTGAAAGTGCTGTCTAAATCCCCAAGAAGGAACCCCTGATGTTTCCAGCTCCCCACAGACGTCCATTATCCTGCTACCCCAGGGGAAAGGGAGAGGGGACAAGAAGGAGAGGCTAAAGCCAGGCCCTGGCCATGGAAGTTATCCTTGCAGTCTCCCCAGCTGGAGATGGGCAGGGCAGGAGAGAGAGTGGGTGAAGCTGCCTTTAAGGTAATCAACCCCCTAGCCTCAGGCAGCCAGGGTCCCCAGGGCAGTGCTGTGGGGCAAAAGAACAAAGAATGTGGGGCAGCCAGAGGAAGAAAGGGAAGGAAACTGACACTGGCTGGACCAAAAGAACCTTTGAGAGGGAGAGAACAGGACAGAAGTGACAGTCAGTTGCTTGGCAGCTTGGGGTGTGAGCCTGATGGAGGCCGAACCCCAGCTGTCTGTAAGGTGCCCACACCAGGTCTCCTCGAGGTGTCCACATGCCTCTGAATAGCTGTGCCAGCTACAGATCCTAGACAAAGCTCTTTCCAAAAGGCTCCCTGCCCCACCCAGTCACTCCAGGAAGCTGGGAGTCGATTTTGCAAGGCCAGCTCCCTGGGCGGGTCCCAGTGAAGAGCACCTGGAGAGGGGCAGGAGGAAACCCCTACAGGAAGTCCCTGCCAGCTGAGGGCTCAGGCCCGAGGCTCCGCTCCTGCCACCGGTGTCGAAGCCTGGAGAAGGGCTGGTCCTCCGTGCTCTCCAGCTCAGGGAAGCCCAGCTGGTTGAGGATCTCATAGATTCCAGCCTTGGATGCCACCTGGTGGGGGCGGGGGGGGACAGAGACAGGGCAAGGCTTCAGTGGAGGGAGGGTATCAGCTGGGCCTCTAGCACGCCATGGTCCCCTCACTGGACTCAGAAGCATATGGGGGAGTCTGGGGCCCAGAGCTCCTCCTGCTTGCTCAGCGAGTGAAGAAAATCTGAGGGCTCATCTGTTAACTCCGCCGAGCCTCAGTTTCCTTATCACAGCATTACGGTCTGTACTCACAGGGCTGCGTGGAGGAGGGCTGCAAGCGTGCAGAGAGCAGCCCCAAATGTCCAGGTCCACGTGGAGGAGCCATGGGGATCCGGGAGCACTGGCCTGGCTGCCCCAAGCAGCAGAGCTGGGGCCAAGGGAGGCTGGAGGGCGGTGGGGACTCAGGAGCAAACAAACTTGAGCCCCTCGCCCAGAAGTTCAGGCTGTGGGGCTGAGCCCCGGCAGTGAGCTTGCACCTCCCCTGGGCACCCAGCATGAAGCCCCAGCTCAAACCACCAGCAACCTGTCCCTTCTCCCTGCCATCCTGGGGGACTGGGAAAACGCCACCGCTACTTAGAATAAAGAGACAGATTTGTCCCTCTCTCCTGTCCCCGGCAACACACACCCTCCATTCTGAAAGGCCAAATAGAGAGGCAGCAAGAGGTCCAGTGGTGAGGCTGGCATCCCAGACCAGAACTAGGTGGGCGTGGGAGCCAGTGAACTAGCTCTGAAGAGGACCTTGAGCAAGTTACTAAACCTCTGGGGGAGTAGCAGCCATGCCGTCTAAGGCATCCCAGCCAGAAAAAGCCTGGCAGAGGGCACCGTGTGCATTTCACCCAATCCCCACCACCTCTGAGTGACACCAACGCTATTAACATCATCTCCACCTCAGTGGTGAGGACAACAGGCTCCTGGGGACCACCCGCTTGTCGAAGGCCACAGCTGGGAGGGGGCAAGGGTGGGCACCACAGCCTTTGCCCTCAGCCCTCACAGGGCACAGATGAGGGTTGGACAGAAGAGGCACGAAATGCCCAGGCCAGCAGTGGCATCCCTTACAGACCAGGGACCCAGCCTGACAGACTCCTGGGCTTCTTCTCTCACTCACTGACTCACTCACTCAACTATTAAGCTTTTCTTTTTTCCTTCTGGCAGTACTGGGAATGAGCCCAGGACCTTCGTACTGAGCTACATCCCCAACCCTTTTTTATATTTATTTATTTATTTATTTATTTTATTTTATTTTATTTTTGGTGCCGGGGATCGAACTTGGGTCCTTGCACTTGTGAGGCAGGCGGCGGAAGCACTGAGCTAAATCCCCAGCCCCCCAGCCCTTTTTTAATTTCTATTTTTCATTTTGATACAGGGCCTCTGTAAGCTGCCCAGGCTGGGCTCAAACTTGGAATCCTTCCTCCTCCTCAGCCTCCTAAAAGGCTGGGATGACAGGGATGCGCCAGCTCATCTGCCTGCCTGCCAAGTGCAGGCACCAGGCTGAGGACCCATAGTTGAACAAAATGCAAACCTGAAGAACAGCACTCTTCCCACCCCACAGGAACACCTGTCATCTGGGCCCCCCGAGGCACACACCGGGAGCAGGTGGAAGGCCCCTGCCTGGCCTCTGCCTCTCACCTCCCACATCCAGGTGCTGAAGGGCCTCTGCCAGGAGCACACCTCCTCCAGGTGGAGGTAGGCATTGAAAAGGATCAGGTAGATGTAGCGCTCCAGGTACTGCAGGCTGCGAAGCTGCAGTCTCCGTGCCTCCTGCTCATCTTTGGCAGCTTTCGCCTGGAGGACAGAACAGACTGGGGTTAGCATGGAGTCCTCACTACCCACAGACATGCATACCTCACTATCCTGAGTATGGGCCAGATGATGCCACCCCCCGGCCACAGGTAAGACCACCGTGTCTGCTGGCTCCAGGGGACAGACACCCAATTCCTACTGAGAGGAAGCAGTTGCCTGGCTACCCCAGGGCTCCATTTCCTCACCGGAACTGTGGCTGTGGTCGTCTTCCCAAGGGGCAGCCAGACGACACCGAGCTCTCCACAGGAAAGCTCCGTGACCCCCAAACATGGAAAGGCCATTAGGGAGGCAGGACCAAGAGCCCAGCCGTACAGACCGTTTGCCAACTCTCGACACCCTTTGAGGGGACATCTCCTCTGTGGCCCAGTGCTCCCAGGACTAGAAGGAAGCCTCAGGCTCCTCCCTGCCCCTGCAGCCTCCCTCAAGGAGGGTTAGAAAGGCTCTGACCATGGCCTGGTATGGCTGTGTGCAGCAGGCCCTGACTTGTGGAGGCAGCATTGGTGTCCTCCTCTCTCCTCTCAGCCTGGGCTCACCAGGAGGGTCGGCTCACCCCTGACTAGGAAGGAAAAGGCCCCCTGTACCCTACCTGACCTTGCTTGTTTTGTAAACAGTTGGGATCAGAGATGGAAGGGCTGAGCAGAGAGCCCTCAGACACCCGCCCTCTCCAAGGCTGGGGCCACATAACTGAGCAAGAAAGTCCCCAGACCCAAGGAGCAGCAAGAGATGAAGCAGCTGGGTTGGGGGAGCCCAGGTGCCTGGCCAGGTGAGCAGATATGGGACTCGGCCTTTGCAGCAAGCAACCCCAACCCTTTCCATGAGAATGGTCCAGGCCACATGAGGGAGGAGGCCAGCAAAGCCCACTAGAGGCTGGCTACCCAGTGTGCATGCGTATGCGTGTGCATGTGTGTGTGTGTGTGCGTGCGTGCGTGCGTGTGTGTGTGCAGGGGCCGCAAAGGCCTGGTGGACCTGGGCAGCGGGAATGTGTGCCAGATGGGGCAGCACAGAGGTCGGGACAGTGCCCAGTGTGGGGGCTACGACCAGCTGGCCTGGCTGGGAGGAGAATGTGAGGGACAGGAAGGGAAATGGACTCAATTATGGAAGCAACTAGTGCCACTAGGAAGTTAACCCTCAGAATGGGCTCACGACCTTCCTATCCATGAGAAGCATGGGACCTTTAAATCACAGAGGCTGGGGCCAACCCCAGTCCAATCAGATGAGAAGGGGCTGGGGGACTCATTAAAGGCTGGTGGCCAGGGTGAAGCACCATGGCTTCAGTCAGGGGAGACTCATGCTCAGGAGGGCAGGCTGGGCGACAGGGCCTCCTCCATAGGTTACTCTGCCACTGTGCCAGACTTTGCTCCTGTAACCCACTGTGGATGTGCTGCCCATGTAGCCCCCAGCCCTCTCCCCACGAGGAGAGAGCCAGGAGGGTGAAGGCCACACCTCACCTTCCTCCCACCCCTCCCCGGGCCTCCACTCAGCCCCCCTGCAACACCCTTGGTTCCAAGAGGGGAATGTGGCACCAGGGCAGTCCCTAGGGAGTTGGGAACATCTGTGGGAGGGCACAGTGAGCCCCAGGAGCCAGTAGGGCTGGCCTCCCAACAGCTGGGCCGCAGCTGGAAGCCTTCCTGTGAAGGCACACAAGGCTGGCCTCAGTGTGTCTCCTCCTCAGCTGCTGTGCTGTGTGTCCCCCCTATGCCAGATCTGACATGGCCCAGACCCCTAAGAATCAGAGATGGGGCTGGGGTGTAGCTCAGTGGCAGGGCCCTTGCCTAGCATGGGCAAGCCCTTGGGTTCAGTCCCCAGCACCACAAATAAAAAAAGAATCAGAGCTGGAGCGGATCTGGCCAGTATAGGATCTGGGGTCCCTAGCCCCCCACTTGTGCCTTTGGAGCAAATCTCCCAGGGCTGCATGAGCAGAAGGCATCTGGATAAGCTGCCCATCCCCCTATCCCGAAGGAGCTCCAGGGGCCCTGGGGATGGAGGCAGAACTGGAAGGTGGACCGTGAGCAGTGCCAGGAGTGCTGAGGGGACCAGGGACAGTGCTCTGACTCCCTGGATGACAACGAGACCCAGGAGGTGGTTTCTGGTCCTGGTTCTGCTGTTAAGCCTCAGTCCCCAAGTTTATGGCCCTGGGCTCCCAGGCTGTAAGGCTACCAGAAGAGCTGTATTACAGATGGAGGAAGGGCAGGGGCGGGAGGTGACAGGCACCAGGTGGGTCAGGAAGGACAAGCGGCCACTCATATCTGGAGACAGGAGGCAGATAGATGGTCTAGAAGAGACCCTGCATCTCCAGGGTCCCTACCCAAGGCAGACAAATGGGGAGGAGCTTGTGGGACCAGGATAGTGTGGAAGCCATGCTGAGGTTTCACCCTGCTGACACAGACACAGAGCCGCTTCTGAGGCTGGGCGTTGCCACCCTCACTTGCTGACGGATGCCTGGCAGGAAGGGGCAGGATGCTTATTGTTTTGGGGTTTTTTCCCCCAGTACCAGGATCGAACTCAGGACCTTGTGCTTTCCAGACAGGTACAGTGCCACTGAGCTACATCCCCAGGGCCCAGGATGCTTATTGTTTTAAGGACTAACTGAGCGGGTACTCAAAGCAATCGGTTTTGCTTAGAACATTGGGCAATGGCCAAAAGAGAAAAAATAAAAAGATTTTATACTGTCTTTTCCCAACCTGCAGCCTGGAGCCTATTCAGAAATATTTTCTTAGAAAGAAGGAGAGAACATCACCCACAGTCCCACTGAGAGCCATTTTAAACCACTTTCAATTAAAGGCTCAGAAGAGACATCCCGTGGACATGGGAAGCCCTCGGCTCTCTTGGCCCTGGCCCTGGCCACAGCAGCACAGTCCTCTCTGTGGCCCACTCCTGTGGGGACGGAGGCTGCCTGTGCCAAGAGACAGGGTGAGGGTTAGGGTGAGGGATTTAGGGGTGGAGAGGTGGAGTGAGTCCTTCCAAGCTCTACTGGCAAGGGTAGAATCACCTCTAAGTTCAGACTGCGGTGTAAAGAGCATGCCTGGCCCTCCAGCGGGCCCCTGGGCACATCCTGCCCCATCCCAGACCTGTGATTTGAGACAGTGACCCGAGACAGTGACCCACCTTCCTATCAATCTGGGTTTCCTTAAAAACATACCATTTGCACCCTGCCTGGGAGGAGGGCAGGCCACCCACCTCCTGTGCATAAAAATAGTGGAGCTGTTTTGTACTGACCTGGCAGGCCAGGCTGTCATTAGCTGTGGACTGAGCCCTAAAATAGAAGGGGGCCCAGAGGGGCAGCCAGGGCTCAGGCACTTCGGGCCTCTCACACCTTTGTCTGCCTGCCATGGCTGCCAGCCCAGCTTTGCCAGTGGGGCTCTCCAGGAAGGCCCACTGAGGCACAAGCAGGGAGCCTCCCAGGCTAAGTCTGCAAGGCGAATGAGCATGTCACATCCTGATCTGATGGAACATCTCATTTTGCAGATGCACTTCAGCAAGGTTAAGTAAATACCCAGGCACAGCTTCCCGGGGTGGGACTGAACTCCACTACCCAAGCTCTTCCCAGGACCCTGGCCTCTTCACCAGTCATACCCACCCCCTCCCTGCCTCTGTTCCTCCTTCCTGAATGCCCTTCCTCTCAGCCTGGCCTGGACCTGTCCTGCTTGTTCCCCAGGCCTGGGACAGCCTCCCCAGGGCACTCCAGCCCCACACCCCTCAGTCTGTCGGCCTCCTCTGCCCTGGGCTAAACCTCTTCACTCAACACTACGGTGCCTTCCATCCTGGAGTTTCCAACGGCCCTGCCACACCAGGATCTGCCTCCCTGTGCAAGGATAAACCCGGGGGGCAGGCACCGGGTTGTAACCAGGTCTATTGCCCACTTCTCCCCAGCCCCAAGGGCTTGCATTAGAACTTGGTAGGCAGCAGGTGTGCAGCTCATCGAGGGCTATGAGCCCCAGATCATCTCCTACACCTGGCTTCCAGCGGAACCCAGAAGCTAGATTTTAGACAGGCTGGGACCCCACACGCCCTTCCCCACAGCCACCTGCACTCATGCTCCAGTGACACTGATTGTGCCCCCAAACCTGGTGTCCCCAACCCAGTGGCAGATCCATCCTTCCAGTTCCACAGGCCAAACCCTGAGCCCTCTCCTCAACCCCACATCCACTCAACCAGGGAACCCACAGCTCTGAAACACTCCCAGAGGCTACCTGCCTCTCACCTCTGTGGTCCAAGCTCCCTTCATCTCAGTGACAGCCCAACTCCACCACCTGCTGTCTATTCTCAACATAGCCCCAGAGAACAGGAGGAATATAAGTCAGCACCTCTGCTCAAAACTGCACTTGAAGCAGAGGCTGAACCTAAGCAATCCCAACTTGGCCTGCCAGGTCCACCTCCCAGCCTGCAGCCTCCAACCTCCCCTTCCCTCTCCTCTCCCTCCCTCTAGCCCCAAAGCAAAAGCCATCACCCACCGCAGGGCCTTTGCACCTGCTGTGTCCTCTGCCTGGCATCCTCTTCCCCAGATGCCAGCGTGGCTCCCTCCCTTACTCTTTCTGGTGTATACCTGCCCACCCTATTTAACACTGCAGCCTCTCAGCCCATCCCTTCCCTGTCTCCTCACTGCTTCACTCCCTCCCACAGAAACATTGCTATCTGACACCATGACTTTCACTTGCCTGCTTGTTCATTGTGTCACTACAGCCCAGACTTGGGCCTGTGTCTTGTTTGTGTGGCATTCCAGCACCTAGCACAGTGCCTGACACTCAGTAGATGTGTGATAAACTGTTGTGTCAGTGACTGATTAGCACTTTCCTTAAACCCAGCCTTGCAGGACACCCAGGGTTATCTACATCAAGCCCTTTGCTTTCCAGGAAGGGAGGCTGAGGTCAAATGGGTGACAGATTTGCCACAGTCACCCCAGCTCTGCCAGTCACCCAGCGAGCTGACGGCAGAGCCTCAGCAGGAGCCAGGCCTCCTGTCCACTCCTGCAAGGCACAGCCCAG